CTGTGCCTCAGTCATTTTGTTTAAGAATTCACTTGTGCCAGACTTCGCTATGGTACCAAGGTTTTTAACTAATTCTTCCCTGGTCATGCCAACACCAGTGTCTGTAACATGCAGCAGGTTCTTCTCCTTATCACACTACAATCAAAAGAAGGACAAGATGTTGAAACGTTTAAGATGCTGAACACTCAAAGCAAATTGTACAACCCAACCCCTATCACAGCCAGCTGAAATGAAGGTTTGGAGCAAGGATAAAAAGGTATTGCTATTTTAGAAAATGGTTAGTAAAAAATACTTTGAAGTGGGCAAATGCTTTCCTTCTTAAAAAAAAAATCAAGTATACTAGCATTTATACACTAAGTATGTTACTAATATATTTAGTATTTAATTTAATCCATGGTGACTCAGGTTTTTATTGTATTCGAAGGTCACCATCCATTAATGTTCATGTTAACTACCACAGTACGTACATATAGGTACACACACATACACACCCATTATGTTCTCTCTCCCTAAGTGATGGCACAAACCCCAAGACTCAATATGGGGAAAAAACAAAGTATACTGGGATGGAAGGAAAGACTCCGCAACATTAATTCTCCAAATATTGACTCTGTCATCTCCTAATTTCTAGAAAATCTTTTGTTTTTAAGCATTAGCTGGTGTTAATTTCAAGCTTACCTTTATTTTGACAGTTAGTTCTTCATTTCCAGAAAGAGCATTTTCATCAGTCAGTGAAATTAGCCTTATTTTATCTAAGGCATCAGAAGCATTTGAAATCAGTTCTCTAAGGAAAATCTACAATAATTTGAAAGAGAGGGCCCAGATAAAATACACATTTAACATCAGACTTAAGACCTACTTTATTTCTGTCCAAGGATCCTAAAAAGCTATTCAAATCTTGTATCTATCTACTCTTATTGAGATCTCATCTGGTAAACTGGGTCACTTAATTTTCTTAATACTTGACATGAGAAACTACTTATCTGTTGCCTACCTTTTTTCTGTGACAGGGTGAGTTTAACATAATTGATCTTAACTAGACTTACAATCACTAGTTCCACGTAACAAAATGATATATTTGTTGGGAAAAGGTAGGAAGGTTAGCACTGTTTTAAAATTGTTTTACTACATTTGTGTACTGTGGAGATGGGAAAAACTAAAAACCTGAGAAGAAATCTTGGCAGGAGAGTTCATTAAGAGCTATGATTTTACACCATGTGCTTTATACAAGGGGTGATGCATACAATTCTTACCTCCTTATTTTTGTACAAAGAGTTGATTATAAGCTTCATCATTCTGTTCACTTCTGCTTGGAAAGCAAATTTCTCAGATTTTTCTCTAAGTTCTTTTATTTGGGATGCATTCAATCCATCCAATTGAATAGCTTCTTCTTCTCTATGGATAGAGAAAAAGGAAACGTTAGGCTACAATAAAATAAGTGTAAGCAAATAAACACAAGGACCATAGTGTTTAATATGATAATGGAAGCACAGCCGGTGTCTAATCTGTTGACCTTTTATCTTCACTCATAAATAAAGCTAAAATTGAAGCCCTTTCAACAAACATTTCTTTCACTTGATTATTATGTTGTATCTATAATGCCCACTAATAAATAGTTTGCATAATTAACCTCAGCTTTAGAAACAATACACCAACACAACTTTTCAGTTTTCTACAATCCCCTTTATCCTGAAATCTGCTATTCTGCACAGGCACTTTTCTCAATTTAGTTTTTAAACCAATCCCACACTATTTGGCTGTCAACAGTGTTCTTGAATTACCCTTTAGCTGTTCAGGATTCTTCAATGCTGGAATATTATCTGTACTGCATTAGAAAGCACACATGAATATGTAAGTTTGAGGGCAGAAATATATACAACCTAAATATACTTAGGTTCTACATATCTCTACCCTGTGCTTTCTAATAAAAATATGAATATAATGTATGGAATATATATTACATACCCACACCAACCCAATAAGCAAGAACCAATAACCACTTCTCAGATTTAATTTACCCCTTTCTTGCCCCATGGACATCAAGTCTCTCCATTTGATAATTTACTTCTGATAACCAGGGGTCAATTATACTTGGAGAAATTCTGTTCTGATGGCTCACAAACCTGTTGCTCACCCTGGTCTTCAGCTCTACCGGACCAGCTAAAAGGGAGCCAAGAGGTAAACTCTTACATGAAAATAAAACCTGACTTCTTGTGCCTTTGGTAGAGGACAGAGTCATTTGAATTTTGTTCAGATATTCGACAACACATTTCAGATGCCTTTTCCTTTCTGAGACCAGACACCACAAACAACATCTGGCCCCATGAAGTAAGTCATCGTGACAGTTTCAGGTCAGCACCAACCTCTGGACGACTTCATCGTCCGTCCGAGAACCTTCTCTGCTTTTTCCCAGATCTTCTTCCACCATAGCTTCCACGTTCACTTGGTCGTCTGCTTTAACTGATCCTAAGGGAAAAGGATGTTCCTGTGTGAGATAACTGCCTTTCCAGTCACATGGAGCAGATGAACTAACAGGGGGCCCAGGGTGGTGCGGGAAGGAGGCCCAAAAGCCTTGTGAACATGGGATCGAACCTCAAAATCAGCTTCTGGTACAAGGGGTGGGGCTGAATAAAGGGATGACCAACTGCTCAGGCCCACCCCTTCTCCACAGAAACAGATGTGTTAGCTTTCTACTTGGAAAGCCCTGGGTTCAAGTGCCAGCCAGAATGACCACAAACTGTCCCTTCTCCGGGGTTTCCCCCAGTCTCTAAACTGGACAGTCCTGCTGGTGAGACCTAAATGGGCAATGCAGATACAAGCCAGGGCTGGGTGGTTTGACTTATCACTTCGTGGCCCTAATTGTGAGCACCTCCATCAATGCAGAAGAGCTGAGGGTCTGCAGAGAAATCCGCTAAAGGTCCTCAGGGGCCAGACGGTCCAAGAGAGGACCCAGGCAGGGGAAGGGAACATATTCAAGAGCCCATCCAGCCCAACACCCTCATTTTACAGAGAAGCAAACTGAGTGACAGGGAGACTAAAATAAAGCAATTAAAGGTTGTGTCAATAAGAAGGGTTTGAATCCCATTCCTTTGATTATAAGGATGGTGTTTTTCCTCGGTATCTTGTCTAGAGTAAACACTGGAACCCAGCTCAGCCTCATAATGCTATGCTGCCTTCTCTGCATGATCAGCCCCATTTTAGAGAGGGAAACTGAGGGTAGGGATGTTGACTTTCACCCTGGACTTCAAGGCTGGCCCTGCATCCATCGCTCTAGTGCCTCGGCATCATCATGCACGAGACTTCCAGCCCGTCTCTCCATTCGGGGCATTCTCTCTTGCGGTCCCCCATGCCTGGAATTCTCCCCCGCCCCGCTTCCTTCAAATACCACTTAAAATCCTGCCTTCTACAAGCAGCATTTCCCCAGCTCGCTTAGTTCCAGTGCCTTCATTCTAGTGAATAATATTCTAATGACATCATGTGATACTAGAATATCAACATAAATTAGAACAGCATTCTAACAGTATTAGAATAACAATAAAATATTCTATTATCGTTCTGCATAGATCGTATTTGTACACAGCCCTTCGCACGTTGTCTCCTCCATTACATTGGGGGCTCCTTGAAAACGGACTGATTTTTTTCCTCCCTTTCTTTTAATCCCAGTGCCTGGCACATAGTAGGTGCTTAACAACATCTGGCTGTCCAAGTAGAGACTCATAACCATTCCAATGACAACAGGGTTCCTGATTGGGTTAGGTTTTTTGTTTTTTTTTGGGGGGGGGAGGGCTTTAAAGAAAAATACTCCCAGCCACCAGCGTGTGGCACATAGTAGGTACTTTAATAGAGATTGGATATCCGCTTGCAGGAGGCAGTGTTCACAATCCGGCCAGCCTGGGTTTTTTTTTTTTCTCCGCCTTTATATCCTCAGCTTGGCCCAGTGCTTGCCACACAGCAGGCGCTTAATAAATGCACACGAGCGTCTATGCTGCCTTTCTCTGCACCAGCACCTCCATTTTTAGGCATAAGTAAATTAAGGCAGGGTGGTGGGGAGGAGAGGAAGGCACGGATAGACCTGATCCAGCCACCACAGGATGGGGCCTCTTTAAGCATCCTCGCTAAGCACCACTCGCTCCACGTGGTCACTCCCATTTTACAGAAGAGGTAAACCGAGGCCCTCGGCGCCGCTCGCGCATCTCGGCCCGGTCATGCCCATTCTACGGGCGGGCAATCGGAGACAAGGGGAGGAAGGCCCAGGGAGGGCGGAGGCGGGCCGAGCCCCGGCAGACAAAGCTCCCCGGGCACGGCCTCCGGGGGACGGGTGGGGGTGGGCGGCCGCGGAAGCTTCCAGAAGGCCGGGCCCCCGCCTCCTCCTCGTTCTCACTCACCGCAGGCCAGCAACAGGACGCAGCAGAGGCCCAGCAGCCACAGGGCCTTCATCGCGGCGAAGGCGGCGGCGCTCGGTCTACTCCGGCACGGCACGGCGCGTCAGGCTACAGCTCACGGCCTCGTCCTCCGTCCGCCTCCGCCGGCGGGGTTCCGCTCCTCAGGCCCCGAGCTCCGGCAGCGGCGGCGGCACACAGGGCAGCGACACCGACGCGATCCGCCCACCACCCCCCAAGCCCGGCCGCTCGCTTTTCACCCCCCACTCCCTGCGGGCGGGGGACGGGAAACACGAACCGGCCAATAGCGCCGCACCACGCACCCCGCGCGGCCAATGGGAAGCAGAGGTGGGGGGAGGAGGCGGCGATCCGCCAATGACAGCCCTCCAGGTGAGGGGCCCGAGGACCGAAGCGTGGCTCCGGCTGATTGGCCCACGAGAGCTACGTCGCTCCCGGCCAATGACCAGCCTCCGCGGGCCCCTAGCTCGGGCGGCTCCGACATCGGAGGAAGGTCGACCAATGAGCGCGAGCTCAGGCAGCCTCCCTCCTCCCCCTTTCCTTGGGGTGAAGTCGCACTCCGGAAGCACTTCTGGATCCTTCCTCGACAGCGTTTACTCCGTTACTAGGGGAAACGGTATCCATGGCAACACGCTCTTCTATTTTCCTCCCCCAAAGAATCCACTGAGAGTCGTAAAAGGCTCCCAGTTCGGCAAATCCCAAGTAAGCCCTCCTCCAGTTGCCGCAGGCTACTCGGGCGGGTGGCTTCTCGGGAAACAGGAATTTCAGGAGTTCGAAGAGCTGGTACCCCAAAGAGACTGAGGAGGAGGGAGGAGGGGGGCGGGGCGAGGCCGGGCATGCCGCGAGAAACTACATATCCCAGCATGCAACGTCCCCAGAACTACACCTAGCTGCATGCCGGGAAAGCTCCTGGGCGTGCTTCCTGGGCAGCCATGTGCGTACTCTTAACTTCTCGTGGGCTTGCGGGCGCTCCGGACTCTCGCCCCAGCCCTTCGAGCCTGGCCTCCCAGCAAACTCCCCGTCCTTGGGAACCTGGCTTGGAGGAGGGGGGGAGCAAAAAACAAGTGTGAAGTTTGCCTACCCTCCCTCGGTTTGCAGTCCTACCCCCCTCCCCCCATCCTCCCGCCTGACCCTCTCTATATAAGTGACAGTCATGGCTGTAAAGCTGGGAGGGACCTCGCAGGCGGTTCAGTCTTACGTCCTCCTTTGACAGATGAAGAAACTGAGGCCCAGAAAGGGTAAATGACCTGTTAGGAGCATAAGTCCTGGGCTGGAAGGGACCTCAGAGGTCATCCAGTTCAGCGCCCCTCATTTGACAGTAGAGGAAACTGAGGCCCAGAGCAGTGAAGCTACTGGCCCCAAGGTCACACAGCTCCTTTAAAGGGGGGACAGCTCTGTAATCTCAATGTCATTTCCTCCCCCAGCATGTAGGGAGCACCTGCCGTCAAAGCTGCTTCATGTCCTCTGGCTGGAAGTCTGTGACACCCTCCCAGATTCGCTTGGAAGGAAGGCTCGTGACTTTCCCTCTCCTCTCAGGGAAATTCTGTGCTTGTGAGCTGTCCCAGGCTCACCACCTCAGGTACAAAGACCTTTCCTGGAAAGTAACCATCCCGTAGGTGAATAAGCTTTGATGGAACCCTGGGGAGCCTGAAGGCTGAATTTCCTGCTCATGGCCCAGCTCACCCTCACCTCCTCTCCTGGTCATAGTTATGATGAGTGGAAGTGGGAGTGACCTGGGGGAGGGGGCTTCCAGCAGCACCCAGTGTCCGCTCTATTAGGATTATGGCCTTGTTGTAGCACGCTGGCCTGTGTCAGACCCAGGAGACCGGTGTGAACGGAACGTTCCAAATGAGATGACACAAAACAAGGAAGTCAACTCCCAAATGAGTGCTCAAAGGATGCACCTGGCCAGCATTTGAAAGCAAAACCTGTGATGAAGCAAATGAAGTGGTATTAACTGCTAAGTGAAACACTGAAAGCTTTCAGTGAGACAAAAAAAGAGTAGTGCTGCTTACTTGCTTCAACAGGCGCCTTTCTTGGATAGGGACATAAATGAGTAAGGTGGGGAAAACATCTTTGCTTTTCCTTAGAAGCATTTTATAAGTTCCTAATCGATCCAGTGATCAATATTTCTAAGCACCCACTATGTGTCAGGCATAATCCCTGCCTTCAAGGAGTTTACAATCTAATGCAAATATAATACAAAGCAAGCTATATACAGGATAAATAGGAAATAATTAAAAGAGCTTTATCTATATTTAAAATACATTTGTTTTACATATATATTCCACACTCACATATGTTTCTGGTTCCCTCCCTCCCCCTTTTTTTTAATTAACACCTTCATTTGAATTTTGCAAGCTTTCACCTACCGACATGGGTCCTTGGAGAGATACAAGCTTTTTAGTGTTTGTCTTGCAAGGCATAATCTTTGACACTTCCTTTATTAGAATGCCAGTAGGTCACCTGCTTGCGGTTCCTGTTTGTTGACTTCTTGTGTTAAACTGTTCGCATCAGCTTGGATTAGCTGTATTTGTTATTAGTGAGCAAACCTAGTTTAAAAAAGTCACAATCTCCTTTAAAGTTTCTGAGCTTCTCTCTTTGCTGGTTATGTTTTTTTCAGCCAGGGTTTTTTTTTTTCCTGCAGTTTTATTCATATTTTTTATGTTCTGTTCAATTCTGATCTCTCCCTTTCTCTACCCAGCTAGCTTTCTTTTCCTTGTAACAAGATTTTAGAAAAAAAGAAACAAGAAGAAAACACTTCAGCAAAACGAACCAACACATGAACTCTGTCTGAGAGAATATGCAAAATGAGGATTAAATTTTAATAATTTGGATGCAGTTCATCTGGAATGCAATCAATGGCATTTTGTAGCTTTGGTGAGAGAGGACTGTTAAATAAACAAGTGGATATTAGGGATTAGTTCCAAAAAGCAACTAACAGAGCAGAGGTTAATATTCTATGGCAAGTCTACCAAAGATGATTTGGAGGTATGTTCACTGGCTAGTCCAGTTAAAGGTATCATCCTGCATAAAAGTGCATATGTGTATGAGTTGATAACAATAAGCATATTTCTTCTTGGATGGAGCCCAGAAGGATGAGATCAGTACATTTTTTGAAGTTCGAACTCTTAAATTAAGGGTCTCGTTAAGTTAGGGAATGAAGAAGAAAGAGAATTTCCTTGATTCCTCAGCTCCATCCTTGAGGTGAACTCAACTCTCTTAAGCTGTTAAATTTCACAACCTTTTCTCCTTCTCAAAAACTGCATGTTCTTTGAAAGGCTCCTCCCCCCTTCCCCTCTTTTTTTTTGTGTATTTTTTTCTCTCTACTCAACCATGAGCATCACTGAACTGGAGGTGGAAGGTGGAACATGGAGATAAGGTCAATATTTCCTTGGTCATCTTTTCTGGACAACAGTTGGTGTGTCTACAACACACCAATGCTGCATTTCCCCATTCCAGACTTACATTGAAATGACCAATGTATGATGACTTTTGGTAGGGGTTAGAAGATTAACTGGCTAAGGGGGAGCTGAAATCGAAATAAACAAATCCTTGGCGTGGCTGACTTCTGAAAAGGAGTAAATCTGTTTTGTGTTTTTTTTGTTTTGTTTTTTTTCTAGGGTTTGGAATAAGGTCCATTCAGTTTCAACTCTCTTCTCTACAACTTTTTACATTCATTGTTAGTGCCATACAATGATGGTTGATGATTCATGGTGATAACCTTAAGGCAATGTGGGATACTGAAGTGCCTGCAGAATAAAGTGAGGTTCAGGATAATTTTAGTATTAGGTATATTCTTTTGTATTTAATTTTTAAAAATTAGCAGTTGGTGTGTGGTGTATTGAGTCATTTGAAGTTGACCCCACCTTTCAAGTGAAATTAACCTAGTCATTCCCCCCCCCATTCTGGATATGGGAATTTGCCTTAATTCAATGTTTATAACTTCTAATTTGGGAACATGAATTATAATTACGAACTAATTCTAAAAGATAGGAGGGTGGCTGGACTTGTGATTTCCTTGGTGTCGGGAACTCCCTCTGCTAACTCAGGTCAGCCTGTCCTTTGCAATTTATAGTGTCTGAGAGAGATGCCTTAGTGGTTCAGTGACTTGTCACTTAACAAGTAGGTATTGGAGGGATGCACTTGAACCCAAGTCTTCTTGGCTTGGAGGCCTGCTCTCTCTCTCTCTCTCCCTCTCTCTCCTATGTGTGTCCTCCCCACCCCACCCCCACCCCGCTGCCTTTGCCTTCTAAACATAGCACTGTGTCATTGTGCTTCATCTTTGATATCAGCAATGTCAGGCCGGCTTGCTTGCTTGATTCTCACCAGTACTGGGTTGTTACATTTAAACAGTAACATCTTGACAGCTGCGAATCTTTTCTGTGATGTTAAACAAATGGTCTGATATAGATCGCAAATAATGCCAACTCTGGCACTACCTCTTAACCACAAGATCATTCTTCTCATCCCCAATTTGCAGTCTTTGGTGCAAGGTTGAGGACCTAAGTAAATAGGCAATCCAGTTAAGTGCTTAGATTACCAGTTGTGCACACAAGTAGGCACCCAGATTCCCAACAAGTTTAGAGGAAGTCAGAAAGCAAGACAACATTTGGCTAAAGTCTATGCATTTCCTGTGTGCCAGGCACTGTGCTGAGCTACAAAGAAAAGCAAAAACAGTCCCAGATGTCCAGGAGCTCACCTTCCAATGCGTCCTATAGCATTTAAATAACTAGGTACATACAAGATATCTACCGATCACGTGGAAGGCAGTCTGAAAGGGGATGACTGGCAGCTGGGAGAATTATAAAAGGGGCCCGGGGTTGAGCAGAGACTTGAAGGTATCCATGGAAACTAAGGGCAGGGGAAGGGCCAGAGCCTTGCAGGTATGGGGGACAACCTGGGGAATAGACACAGTCCTTGGCTTTCTGACCAGCCTGTGGCTTTCTAGGATTAGCCCTCCGCTCTTGCTGGCTCCAGACACAGTCTCGTAGATTTCACCCATCCCTCTCCTGTCCCAGGTCACCCTGGGAGGATGCCTTGTGTTTCCACTGGTTTTATCAGAGACTCCCTTTCCTATACCTTGCAAGGTCCTGTGACCTCTTGTGTAGTCCTGGGTGGAATAAACCTCTTGCTGTAGTTTTCTCTGGATTTCTTGGTCATTATTCAGTTTGGTGCAAACTTTAGGGTTTTGTCAGAGTAGGTGTGGGGGGTGGCCCCCTGTTCAGGTGGATGTCTTTACCAGACATCATTTCTGATGCCATGTTCCTAACAAAAGGTAAAAACTTCATGAAGGAGAGGTAGAACTAGAAAAGGGACCTGAGCTATTCTGAATATACCATTGTCTTATGCTGGTTCTTTCCAGCATTTTTAGTTCAGATGGAAAAGGCAGAGTTATCATGTGCACAATAAAATAGTCCCCAAGCAGAGAAGTCCAGAAGTCTTCAAAGATTAGTCTATGAAGACTTCTGATCACCAGATCACCTCCATGACCCAGGTTATGTCCAAAGAGAGTTGGTCAAGATTCTGTTTCTAGGTCCTAGTGACCTGGTTTCCAATGGTAAGGGTTTGTTTACCATGTGATAGTATCTTTTATTGAAAACCAACCAATAGAAACACACCACAAACAACAAAAATCACTGCTCGCACCTTTCTATTCATTCTTACTGGGTATTTTGTTCACCTCTTTGCACAAAATCAGACACCCTGCTGTGGCTTTAAAATTCTTATTGATGATGAAATCACTTAAATATATTCTTTGGTTATTAAATGATTCCATGCTTGTTTGTTATAAAAAGCAGTGATTTAAATATTATAATAATAGCATTTATGCAGTTAAGTACTTCTCAAATGTCATCTCATTTTATCCTCCCAACAGCCCTGGGAGGCAAGTGCTATTATTATCCTTATTTTACAGATGAGGAAACTGAGGTATACAAGTGCCCAAGGTTTATACGACTGGGAAGTGTCTGAGACAGAATTTAAAATCAGGTCTTACTGACTCCAGGCTCAGTTCTCTATCCACTGCCCCCCACCTAGCTGCCTGGATATACAAATGTCATAACTGAACCATACATACAAATGCGTATATATGTGTGGGTGTGTATTTACATTTATATTTAGACTTAAAAGTGTCTGGGGCAACTTGGTGACGAAGTAGATAGAGCACTGGGCGTGGAGTCAGGAAGATCTGAGCTCAGATTTGGCCTCAGACACTTTTGCTAGCTGTGTGACCCTGAGAAAGTCACTTAACCCTGTTTGCCTCATAAAATGAGCTGGAGAAGGAAATGGCAAACCACTCTAGTATCTTAGCCAAGAAAGCCCCAAATGGGGTCACCGAGAGTCAGACATGACTGAAAAGACTGAGCAAAAGTGTGTAGGGTACAGTTTGTTTTTCTTCCAGCACACCTCTAATAGCATAAGAAAAGGTACTCAGTGTATCTTATCTGTATTTCCCAAGCAGTTCATGAGGTCCAGATCTCCTGGCCAGCATAGCATGGCTCTTCAGTCTTTCCAGTTTCAGGGATATTCTGTCCCTGATTGTTTTTCCCTTTGGAAAGCTACTGTTGTGGTAATCAT